AGAGAGAGAGAGAGACAAGTCTAAAGTTTGCACGAAATACTCATGACTCGATAACTAATTGCAGAACTGTCGAAACTTCAAGAGAATTGCCGATGAACCCGTATGGACACGATTATTGATTTCGTCTGGCTAATTTAGAGAGTGTCTAAAATAGCAAATACGAATCTTCGATAATAACGTTTCGTGCGTCTGTATTATATCTGAACAAAATCTGAACGTATTTCTTGTTATAATGAATAATTTAAAAAATCCTTGAGAAATGAGAAAGGATAGAAGATGAAAAATAGGTGTACCTAAAAAAAAAAAAAAGAAAAAGAAAAAAAGAGCATAGGAACTGGAAAAGTTCCAAAATTCATTGCTTGGACAATCGTGCGGCTTTTTAGCGGAGATTAACTGTTTGCTTGCCATATGATTTCGATGATTGTCATTTTACACGATGTACATACCACATGCGAAAAATCATTCGCACGTCCATTTTATTGTGATATATATAAGATGATGCAGAATTATACGATATACGTCACTATGTCGAATATGACGTCGCTTTGTGAAACAAGACTCTTTTTTTATAATGAAAATGCAAAATATAATGATAAATTTTAAACTCGAGAATTTCTTCTTTATAACCCGTTTCCCTCATATAGATATATAACGAATAAATATTGATCGGTAAGTGTTTTATCCATTTCATTCTAACAATTCGTATTGAAATTTAAATTTCAACGTAAAATTTAGAATACGATTAAAATAACATCTTGTCAAATTTTTACCATTGAAGGATGAAAACGGGCAAATGAAAAATTTTATTGCAATTTCATTCAAAATAAGGAAAAGAACTAGTCCATCTTTTTTTTTCTTTCGAAAAGGAATAATTTCAAGATTCATCGATAAATACCCTTTATTCAATCGGAGTAACATTTATACTTACTTAAAGCATGTCATTGAACTTATATATTCGTACAACTTTATCAACGGCAACAATAATAATCATAATAATGACGAGAGAACGTAACGACAATAGTGGTAATAATGGCAATAATAGCAATAATATCGTCAGAATGATAACTCGTTGGGAGGAGAAACGGGCGCCATGTTGACTGTGAAATATCTCCGTTCATCCCTTTGTGTGTATTTGATTCGTGGTTGAGCAAAAAAATAGATCTAATCACAGTGACGATGTTAATAATTATAATGATAATGACAATGACAAGAATAATGATAACGTCGAAGATTAATCGTAATCATCGGCCGACTATCGCTATACTTTTTTTTTTTCTTTAATTTATTATTACTCTCACTACACGGTGTTTGGTTAAAGTATGTCCCTTTCCTCGCGATATCTTTCATCCCGTCTGTCCACGAAACAGACGAATAATTGATTTCGCTGTAATAATTCGCCCACTTCCTATATATACATTGCCTCGTTCTACTGTAACAAAATTACTTCAGTCCGTAAAATATAATAAGCGTTGCACGCAAAATATCTTCGTCCCCTTTGATCGTCTTTCCACATTTTCATTTGTTTTTTTTTTTTAACTAATAAAACTCGAGTTATTAACACTGTGTTAAATGTTAAAGATAATTTTTCTCGTATACGTATCAATGCCAGAGTAATGAACTAGAAACGCTGCTGATTCGACGATGTGTATTGTCAGAAATATATGCTCTTCTTCGTCGAGTCTTATTCAAGAGGCGGAAGATATTCGTCGTCTCGTGAAATGCGCGCGGGAATTCACCGATATTTACACGCTCGATCCTTCGCGCGCACTTCGCGATTCATCGAAAAACTTACAATGTAGGGGGACGTAGATGCATCAACAAAAAAATGATAACAATTCACACAGACACAACCTACGTACTAGGCACGCGCGTATCTGTTTATCATAACAAACATTCATCAACGAAAAAAACAAACGTAGAAACGTTTCTCAAGCTATTGCACAAAAAAAAGAACGAGTATCCTTCGTCCTCAATCTTGATCGATTCACGAGCACGAGGATCATCCCCGTGTTTCAGCTCGTCGATCCTTGATTCGTCCTTCAACGCCCGATACTTAATTCGATAAATACACCGTGTTTACGATTGACATTTTTGACAAATTTATCCTGTATCCACGACGATCACTGCGTACCGTTATTGAATTCTATGATATTCCCGCGCAGGATTTCCTCTCTCATCGGCCATGTTTACGCACAATTAGCCAAGTGGATCGGTGATAACCACCACCGAATCGTCATATAATATTCGTAATATTCTCTGTCGACTATGTACACACTATGGACAACGTGTTTCGCCGTTTCGTAGACTCGTTGATAATATAAATGCGTCGGTATATTCGTCGCTATAGTATCCTATATCAGACAGTAGTAAGAGTAGTGGTAGCAATAATAATAATTGGATTAGTCCTAGAAACGATCTTCGGTGGTTGTAACAGTGACGATAGTAATAATAATAATATCTAGCGGTAATAAGTACGCAATAGTAATTTATAATTAGCCGTCGGTTCTTTTCTTTTTTGTTTTTTTTCTTTTTTTTTTTTCTATTTTTCATTAGATAGCAGAAGCAGCATCGTAGCGGTTCCACATTCTCGTATTTTTAAACGTTTAATGGCTTAACGGATTAGTAACAGTTAAGTCTGGTAAGAGCGATACGATTCGATATACATCTAAGCTAATCATCATTTATGTTCTCTTCTGTGTACTTCATTATCTTCGTCTCTCTTTACATATCTTAAGAATAATAACCACATTAACGTTTTTTTTTCGTCGAATAATATGTATATATGTATATATATATATATATATATTTATATAAATGCTTTCTCTTCCATCTATTTACAATCACGATTACTGCGAATCTTTGTGATTCTCGCAGTTGAATTCTCTTACATCCTATATTCTTACGTCCTACGTGTTCATTATATACAAAAGATATCGCTATGAGCAACGTCAGTCCGCACGGTTCTACGAGATCGCACTAAATGATCATCAGAGGATACCTTAGATACCGTTCTTTTAAAACATTTACTAACAGTCTATACAATAGTCGTCGACATGTCCAACATTCATTGCCGATTTATCGACAGTCGAAAGCACCGTTTTCCTTTGGTACACAAACAGATCACCCGATAATTTTTAAAAAGTTTATGTGAATCCTTCTCTCTTGACACGGAGAGACACCCCGGCACAATATCTATCCGACAGAAGGTCTCTTCCTTTGTTCATTTACCGACACACGATTTTCGTTCACATTTATCGCACGAACTGTCCCCTCAGTGTTGGCAACACGCAAACATCCGTGTCATCATGGTAACCGTTCAGCATCGCCATAACGATAACGAAGTCATCGTATGAAACACGTTCCTGTCACGTTGTATCCGATCATGGAGCTTTAAGGATGGTCTCAGATGGGTGTCGGTAGGACCGTGAAATCCTGCAGCGCGGTCTTCACCGTCTCGTATATCGGCCTGTTCGCCTCGTCCGCGCAATAACCATCGGCGGTGCACAGTGTCTGCAGCTTCGTCAGGTAACTGTCGAAGTTCTCGTGGCTCATCTTCTCTTGCGGTCCGCCTGGGGCGTTCGGTATTCGCACGTGCTCCAACAAAGTTATCATATTTTCGCGCAGCGATTGATAGTAATCGGTCAGATTGTTGTTTCGCTGAACAGTCGCCGCCGTTTCCTGCGGAGAAACGAACCTTTTTTTAAAAACATTCAGCTGTATTAAATGTGCATTTTGACACAAGTTTGATAAGAAAAAAGAAGAAAAAAAAAGAAGAAAATGTATACATAAACGAAATGTATGCGAACTATAATAATTGTGAAAAAGTATCGATTTACGTATTAACATATTTCGCATCAGTCACATCACATAAATTAATTTAATTAATATTTTTTCATAACCCATACAAAATGTATCGACAACGAATGAGGCTACAGATTCTATAATCTGAACTAAAATTGCTATGAATTTTAACTTTATATTATTTAATCCTAGAAAGAATCAATATTCTAATGTATAATCTCAAGAATTTTTTTACAATCACTTTCTAAATCAAACTTTTAAATTGGATCATGTTCTGTATAATTGGCAATCGGAAATCATTCTGCCATTCCTATCAGCGGATGGTACATAATCGATTACCGACTGAGTACAAGCGTACTGACCTTTTCACCTTGTTTCAGCTGGTTCTCCATGGCGGTGATATCGGAGCGCAAGCGCAGCACCTGCGATTCGACCCGAGCATTCTCTCTCTGGAGCTCCGTGATCTCGGCCTCCAGTGTGTAGAGATCCTCGCTCTGGCCACTGGCGGTACCGCTACCACTCGTGTTACCCTGACCCGTACCCACCGCACCCCCGTGAGCCGGACCACTGGTGTCCACTCCTGAAGATAGGACATAGACGGTCCATTTTAACAAGCCTGTCTATA